ATAGAGAGAGAGAGAGAGAGAGAGAGTCCTATAAATGCTATGTTTAAATATGTGACTTTGACAACATACAAATACTGCACATCTCAGTTTACTCAGCTAAAGTTGGGATATTTCCTGACCTGCTGACTGTCATTGTGAATTATCAATAAGATAGTGTTCATCACAGTGGTATGACAAACTGAAAACTATTGTATAAATATAAGGTCCTATGATTATTACTGGTATTTGTGTTCAATGATACAGCCCATCTTATCACAGCTTCCCTTGATATGGCTTTCAGAATTATTGCTCAGCTGGACTTGTGTTTGTTACCCTCCAAAGATTCCTGTCCCCTTTTACTATAGCACCAACAATCTCTAGAATTCACCTTAACTTGCTGCATCTGGTTAGTCTCCATTCACCTTTCAGAATCCCTTCCTGAAGCCTTCCCTGACCTGTATTAGTAGGTCATTTCCTCCATCATACACCTTCTAACATAACACTTCTGAATGCTATACTCATCACAGTGCATTCATTAGCATTTGTTCAGCAAATATGCATCAGACCAGAGACTAGCCGGGCTATTCTAAATAGTAAGGATACACAATGTCACAACAGATAGATGCCTTGTCTCTATTAATCTCACTTTCTACTCGCAATTTTATTTTTGTTTCATTTATGTACTTTGTTTTTTTAAAGACTCTTTCTCCTATTTATCCTGTATGTTCCATGAATATAGAGACCATATCTGGTTTGATCCTTAGAAACTAACATAGTGCTGGACAGGAAATTTTTGTTGAATGAATGAGTAAATATTTGTAGAGCTAGTAGAGCTGTACTGGTAATACCAGGAATAGGAGCACAGCTGTCAGGAAGGGAATAAGACAGAAAGAAGTAGGGTCTATAAGTCTTAGAATCTCTTTGAGGTCAGGAGATGCTACTCAATGACCAAATGCCTTTGGGAAAGTCAATCTCATTGGATGCTGGGTTTTTCATCAGTAAAAGCATTTGAATAAGATGTCTTCCATGGTCCCCCAAAAGACTAATTTTCTGATATGATCCCTGAGTGGCAATAGCTTCAACACAAAATTAGAGTGATGTCGTCCAATTGACCAACACTTTCTGCTGGCCATGAATGTTCTTTCTAGTCCTCAACTATCCCATAATTGTGGCTAAGTATTACTAACCACTTATTAACTCAGGGCCACTAGATTAAGTGTTCTACGTGTTTTATCACATTTAATGACACTAGGAAGTAAGTACTATATTTATCCCGATTTTACAGAGGAGGAATCTGAAAGGTTAGCCAGATTACTTAACTCTTAGTATGTTATAAGTGCTTGAGCTGGGATTTAAGCTTATGCATTCTGGTTCCAGTGTCTGAGCACTTTCTATTTCATTTCAACTCACAATAATTGGCAACCCATCACAGATTTTGGTGGATGACTTTCTGATGGAACCTCATCAACATTTAGACTGCTTGGACCCATTTCCCACACCAACGTTCCCCCTTTTGTATCTAAATCTGAACTCATTCTTTTAAAGAACAATTTTTACATTCACAACCCATATACACATACTTTCCAAAAACTCACACCACACATTCTGAGGCATGCATTGGTATTTGCCCTCAAAGACTGTAAGTTTCTTTTTTAGAGAATCTTTTGACTCTGCATTGTGAACCTATCACAATACACAGTCATAATAGACCTTTCACACAAACACCTTTCATATATTTCCTACCTATGCAAAGAACAAAGAAAAAATAGTATCAAAGCAATTTCAAGAGAATAAAGAAGACAAAACTATGGAGACAATGGGTTGGTAAGTGAGTTGAAACAGGAAGTGATTAGGCAAAGTATGAGAGACAACATAAGTAGGTGGGAGGTGCTCAAAGATGAATCCACAGTTAGCATTGATACAAGAGATTTGCTTTTTGCACACCCATTGCTGCTCCTTCAAAAGCCACACAGACAAGATATGTTACACGAGCAGTATGGCAACTCAAAGTGGTATTTTAAGCTGTGTACTTTCCTTAGCCCTGGACAACTGCAGGAACTGGAAAGGCAGCAGAACATAGAGAAGAGACCAGTACTAGGA